TGTTTGAAGAAGGAAGGACACCTGTGGCTCACCCTCCGTCATAGCAGGGAAGGCGGGGTGGCAGAACTGGGAGGCGGTTTGTCAAACTGCATTCACAGGCATTTCATGATGGAACCCCCAACGAAGTAATAAAGTAAAGGAAGTTGATAAATCTAGGAGGTAGAAAAATACATTAATATCACCAGAATCGACTGGAAGAGGTTTTCTAAAACAACGTAAGGCGAGAACAGCTCTGGGGGACCACGGCCTCGGCAGTTCCCGAGCAACAATGGAAGCGGTGGTTTGACGGGGCAAGCGAATGCATGCATTCCGTGGCGGCTAGGCTGGGCTTGTGTTTTGCTGTCTGCGGTCTTCAGCTGGCAGCTGATATTCCTGAAGGGTCTTCAGAGCCAGTGGCAGCCTTGCCACCGCTACCAGTGTCCAAAGACGGTACACATTGCTGGGCAGCAGCCAGCAAAAACAACTGAGAGGGTCCAGAAGGAAAAACTGACTCCTCAGACAAAGGAAGTGATAGGCTGAATCACACAAGGCCAAGGGTCTGGAAATGATGAGCAGGATACAAGACCAAGACTTGTAGGGCTTCGCCATGGTGCCTGGTTGGAGGCGCTAGTCCCTGGGGGCTGAGGCCAGATTTGTATTTGATCTAGTTAAGACCTCTTCCGCAGCGACACAGTGTCATTTGCAACACAGTACCGTTTATTTTAAGTGCAGATTTCCTGAGGTAAATAGTCAGACACATATCATGGCAGAGTCTTCCTGAGTCAGAGAACCCTGGTAATTAGCAGTGAAATATTAGACTTCAATGACATTTCACTTGGGTTTTTTTTTTAAAGAAAATATTATTTTAAGACCTATTCTTCAAAGACTGTAAAATAATTGGTTCTGGATATGCTATTTTCATATATGGCAGCTTGTTGTTACAACCTTCCCTTTCCTGTTTCATATTTTAAAACACTGTTTTGGGGGAGGCCCTCTCGGTGCGACCGATGGGCGTTTTTATTTTATCTAGAGCAGAGCACCGTGTTGTCATTCAGCACGATTTCTCTAAAGACGTCTAAATTTAGAAGCCGTAGAATTATCACAGTTTAAATGGCAATTTCAGCAGGCTTTATGCTGCTTCACTAAGAGCGAGTACGGTGGATTAATATCAAGGAGAACGTAGCAGGCCTTAATTGTTAGTGACGATGTTTTCTACATAGAAATGGCAGTCTGCACATCCATTGGGGGTTGTTTTGCCTGCTTTTGGCTTTTCTCTTCATGACCAAAGGCGGGCCTTACCCCACCTCTTTCCCATAACCACTCTCAGGTGACCCGGCTGGCGTTGTGACTCTCGGGTCCCTTGTCTAGCTGATCTGAGGTCAGTGTGACATTGGAAAGTGGCCGTTTGTCAAACACTCATCTCTGGTTTATAAAGAAGAGTCTATATACAGCCGAGTCTCTCCCACTTGTTAGTTCAGCGGTAGAATATTTGTGTAGCATGCATTAGGCCTGGCTTCAAAACCATGCCCAAATCAGTCAGCTTCGGTTTTCCGCAGTAGGGTTACTCAGTGCACAGCCGTCCGTGGTCTTCTCACTGGCAGTAACTTGAATCACTATGACCACAGCGTGCCATTTGAGGGACATTTACAAACTGAAAATTAAATGCTTGTAATCATTCACCTTTATAGCTATCTAATTACAAGTAAACACGATATGTATTTGTTTGAACTTAGATCTTTTTATATATGTGTGCATGTGTGTTTGTGGGTTGTGGTCAAAGGACAACCCCAGGTGGCATTCAGCCACCAGACATCGCCCCTCCAGCCCTATCTGTGCCCCTAGGTAGTAACTCTGTCTTCCGAACCTTAGAGGTAGCAATGATTTCCTGTCATGCCCGTGGCGGCCCTTGTGATTCCTCATTCTATCTAGCCTCAGGTCCCTCGTGCCAACTCTTTCCTCATATTGTCTTTTAAGACAGGGTTTTATACATTCCAGGCTAGCCTCATACTTGGTATGAAGCTGAGAATGACCTTGAACTTCTGTTTCTCCTGCCAGTGCCTCCCAGGAGCTGGGATTACAGGTATGTACCACCATACTTTGTTTGGGGGCTACTGAGGTGGAACCCAGGCCCAATAGTCAAGCCCTTTACCAGCTGGAGCCCCAGCCTCAGCCTGTCTTGCTGGCTGCCCAGCGTGGCTGGCTCCCGCAGGCCTCACTGGTCTGTGTTCAATGTCATCTTCTCAGGAAAGCTGTCTTCGGTTCTCTAATATTAAACCTCTGGCTCACTTTGTCCGTCTTCTTCACACGCAGCACTGTGTGCTCCCTCCCCCAGCTCACCCTGCTGCCGGCTAAATGCAAGCCGGACTGGAGGCTCCACGATGGCACAGTGACACGGCACATTTTCTGTACTGCGTGTAGCTCGGTACTGGAGATAAGCCAGTGCTTACGCAAGCAGATGCTGAATGGTTTGATGGCCAACTGAACGTGATGCTTGAGATGATATTTCCTAGGATGCATGTTTGCTGTTTGATTCATTCGTTCTATAAAGTTTAACTTTATAGTGCTTAACTCCCAGGCATGTGTGTCTGTGTGTGTGTGCATGTGTGCTTTTATATAGACACATGTATTATATATATATATCATCCCAGTACATTTTTTGTCCTCTGTGAAAGTGTGCCGACTCTAGATTTAATCAAGTTTCTGGAGACTTTTTTTCTTCTTCATTTTCTTTTCACTTCCTTCCTCTTTCAACTGTAGTTACTATCTACATTCTAATTACGATCAAATATCAAGGACCGATTTGCTTTATAGAATTAACTTGTAGCCAGGTTTGATCATTTTTCTCACATTAGAATATATAGTGTTAGTAATGACCGCATGTGAAGTGTTTCTGGCATGATGCTGTCATGGTGTTGTTAATGAACGCTTTGGCAAGCACAGTGTACCTGAGGTCTGTTCTAGGTAGTTCATGTGTGGCCGGGTGTTTCAAGTGAGGTTTATACTAACGAGAAATGATCTGTGCCACTAACCAAGCTGCGACTGGAAATCTTTTTCTCTTATCTGTCAACTGCGCAAGGCTTTGCCCTTCTCATTTTGATGTGGGTTTGTCTCTGTCAACCTCATTCCTGGTTCCTCTGCCAGCTGGCAGCATTAGAGAGGGAGCCATAGGCCCGCTCTGTCATCAGCAGCAACGTGAAAGGCTCCCCTAAGCTCGGGGTAAAGCCAGGTCCCTTTGGCTCTGATGCAGAAAAGAATTTCAGGATGAGCAAAGCAATGTTGTGTTTATTTAACAAGCAGAAAGACACTGACGGATACGACACACCTAAGAGGGTGGGTCTAGGCTTCTCAAGAGTCACTGTTCATTAAAGGATACTTTAAACAAGAATTTTAAACATGGTGGGGCAAAGGGACTGGAAGAACATGGTTGCTCAAGGGGAGGAAAAGACACACCCGGATGCAGTTAGAGGGTTCTCAAGGGAGAGCACCCCTTCAAATGTCGCAGTGATACCTGTGGCAGAATGTGGAAACTCTGGGAATGTTGTTGTTCAGTGGCTTTCTAAGGAGCCTTGTCTACATCTAACTGAATTATAGGATGGCTCCAGAGGTGGCTGGGATGCAATTGCAGTCTGATAAAATTGTACAAGTTGTTTAAGATAGGCCCTGTTATTATAAAGGGGGTTTCGAATAAGATTCCTAAAATTTTACAGGTTTGTTATTTATGTTCATTTCTTGATTCTCAGCCAGACAGAGGCTTCAGCCTTACAAGGATGAGGAGTTTTCCATCTCAAATTCATGATTTTGTCCCTTTCTGTCCTGTGTCACCTCCTCAGATAGAAACTCAGCTCTCCCCGCATCCCCCCTTTTTATTATTAATGAGCATTTCTCTGTGCAACTGTGTGTCTGAGATTTCTTCTCTGAGACAGCTGGTAACTTGACAGTCCTCGTGCATGAATCTAGGCGACCATGGAAGGCAAGCGTTGCGGGGCACATGGGCTTTTTATAGAGGAAAATAACAGCAGGAAAAAGAGTCCATATGAAGCTGGAAGCATCTGTGATGTTTTGCATGCCAGCCTAGACTAACCTGGCATTCTCTTCAAAGCCCTGGGGTCGGCATCTATCCTCTGCAGCATGTAGATCAAGACCAGATCACATGTGTGTTCCTTGTGTTTGGTTTCAATCCCATGTGGGTTTCTGAGGGATGGCACCCTCCTGCCGCTGCTCACTGGACTGAGGAGGGCGTTTGGTGAAGACGCCCCCAAAGCTTTCAGTTTCATAAGCTCCGGTGTAGCAGCGTGAATTATCCTCAGCGCTTTAAACTCTGCAAATGTTTGTCAGGTTTTAAACTATGATGAATGTTTCCAATAAGCCTGCCCAATGAAAAGAGAGGCGAACCATTGCTTATGGAGAGATCATTAGCTACATGATTTTGGGTTCTCAGTCTTCAGTCCTAAGAGGAGCTCCCTCGGTGCAGACTTTTTTCTTCTCCTGGTGTCTGACGTGTTCAGCCTGTCATTCTGCACATTTATTGGCTTGTTTCGTGGGATCAACTGAGAGTCTTTCTTCTGTGGTTTTCGAGACAGAATCTCATATAGTTCAGGTTGACATTGAGCTCTTTCTGTCCATGAAAATGACCTTGAACTTTTTATCCTCTTCTCTCTTTTCTGTGGGGGAGAATGCTACATATGGAACCCAGGGTTTCCTGCTCGCTGGCTAAGCACTCTGCCAACTGGACCACTCTTTAGCTCTTCAGAAGAACAAACTCTTTAGCCTTGCTCAGTTTATTATTGTTGTTGTTGTTGTTATTATTATTTGTCAAACAGCACAAAACGCAGATATTGAGGAGCTGTGGAGTGGTCCTTTAAAAAGGTTCCCTGGAATAGTCTAATTAAAATTTAATAGAATTTTTTAATTGAAGATGATCCACGCAGAAGCCATCTGGCTGCATCGTGGGGACCTAGCATCTCACTAAGCATGCTTTCATTCGAGGAAGCACAGCTCACTGTGTATCTGTTGACCAACAGGTTTGGCAAACATCGAAAAGATGACAAGGTGGAGAAAATGGGCCGAATAAAAGTCCAGGACTCCTTCACGTCAGAAGAGGACAGGGTGCGCATGAAGGAAGAGCAGGAGAGGTAGGTGCCAGCCCCTGCGCCAGGCAGAGGGGCCGTCCTCACCCAGGGCTTCCTGCCGACTGCTTTTATCTTAAATGCACTTGCTCTAATATCTGTGTGATGATTGTGAATTAATGTAGCACAAAGGAAGGCTTTTAAAAAGAAAAAAAAAGCAGGCACTTTTATGTTCATTTGAACCTAAGTGAAATTTTATGGTTTTAGTTAAAGATGTTTTACATAGTGGATGGGTATACATTGATACTGAGCTTATTTATTTATCGGGTTTCTCTCTCTCTCTCTCTCTCTCTCTCTCTCTCTCTCTGTGTGTGTGTGTGTGTGTGTGTGTGTGTGTGAGAGAGAGAGAGATGTGCAACACTACATGTCCATGGGAATGAGCATCCGTGTGGAAACATGGTGTCTTCCTCTGTTGCTCTTTATGGTTCTGTTCGGTTTGTTTTGTTTTTGTGTTTTAAGAAATGGTCTCTCACTGAACCTAGACCTGACCAGCCAGCCTTATCTCCACCTCCCCAGTCCTGGGATTGCAGGCACATTCGTCCCACCTTCTGCCTTGCACTGCCTTTCCTGAGTGCCCACAGCCAGGCACCCTGTGCCTAGAAATGATTTGCCTTTCCGCATTTGCGCATTTGCTGAAATGAGTGGGTTCATTTCATCCGTAGCCTACAAAGCCCCTGTGAGAGCAGATGTGTGTTTACACTTCCAGAGATGGGCTATTTCATGCTACGGGCTGACTAGGAAAACTGAAGAGAGTAGCTCTCTCCAGTCTGAAGGTGCTTCTGGTTTTGTTTGCAGTTCTGGGGATTGACTTGAAAGTTTCACACATGTCAAGCAAACTCCCTTCCTCTGAACTTTACCCCAGTCCTACTGCTTCCTTTATACAGATTAACTTGGGACCATTTTCACTTACCATCCTCTGGGGAATTTCACTCTTCGTTTGTCTTTGTTCTGAATGGATCAGTCATTCTGCTCCCTACCTCTCCAGTAAAACAAAGACATTGGGCAGGGCTTGTATAATAAAACATAGTGTTTGAATGTGTGGCACCAGTCTGAGTTCCCTCAGGATTTATTTTTATTTACGTTCTATCTATTTCCTTACTTCTTTTTATATATATATAAAGATTTATTTATTATATAGACAGTGTTCTGCCTGCAGGCCAGAAGAGGGCCCCAGATTTCATTACAGATGATTGTGAGCCACCATGTGGTTGCTGGGAATTGAACTCAGGACCTCTGGAAGAGCAGTCAGTGCTCTTAACCTCTGAGCCCCTGTTTCCTTACTTCTTTATCTTTGTTCATTGTAAGAATGGAGCCCAGGGGTTTGGACATGCCAGGCATTCTATCGTTGAGTTGACTTTGACCCCTGATTTTCCTGTGAGCTCGTTGCTGCGTTGGGCAGGACTTCCTCAACTTTTCACACCCCTGTCTTAGCAGGGCTTCTGTTGTGTTTGTTTGTTTATTAGTGTGTATTGATTGTACAGACTGGAGGTTTCGTTGTGTTGCTATCATATGTGCACCTAATATGTGCTGTGCTCACAGTCATGCCTCCTGGTCTTTCCTCCATCCCATTCCTCTCCCCTCACCATCTTCATCACTTTCACCCTAAAAGTGCTTCTTCCTCCCGAACATAGACCATACCAGGTCAGTGTGTGGACTCAAGTCATCCACAGATGTACAGGTTACTCAGAGAGCAGATGCAGTGATAGAAAGACATGCTCTTTGCTTCCATGCCTTGACGTTGGCCAATACTGCAGAGGCTTTCATAGCCTAGACAAGCTTGTTCTGTATGCAGAGTCTATCAACATTTCTAAGACACTCTCATAATACATTGTCGAGTGTGTCCGATGAAACCATGCCTTTACCGTCACAGCTTCATTTATGTTAATAATGTGCCCAAAGCACAGTTCATTTCTTAGTTTGGCTTCTAATCTGTCTCTGCCTCTGATGGTGCAGTGTCTTAGGAACTCAGTTGGACATAGTAAATTTACAGTGTACACGGGCTTAGTACAAATCCTTTTGAAAGATGACTGGTCCATAAAGAAATCAGTTGCACTTAGGAACTGAAGCAAGTTCTGGGTCCTTATATCTCAATACTTTTAAAAGTCTGTTTTATGTGACTCGTGGGTATATAATAACTGAGTAACATACTGGTGCTGACGGCGGGACACTGGGCATTTGGTATTGAGGGTGGTGCTGAGTCAGTCTGTGTCCGTAATGCTTTGATGGATGCCGATCACGCTGCATGCTTGATACTCGTGATGGGGTGCTAAGTCCCATTGTGTATTTTGGCGCTCATGATGTGTGCTAAGTCTTCTTGAGTCTATTTTCCCTTCTGTGCTGTTTTTGTTGTTAACCTGAGGGGAGATAATGTAACTTCCTTGGAAAATGTGATTGGAATGGAAGAATAGATAGAAAACAAACCAGAAAAGAGGATTCTCCCTATATCCTAACCCTGACCCTAATCCCCCGCCCACTTGATGGACTAGCAGGGAAGCAATCCTTCTATAACATTATTTTACACTGGAGCTGTTTGAGTCTTTGAACTTTTGGTTAATTCTACATAAAATATAAAACCTGAAATTCCTTCATTAAGCATTCATGACATGTCCCCCAAACCAAATATTTTCTTGCCTGCACACTCGTGTGAAGCCCCTTACTAAAGACGTAAATATTGAAAAATTGAAAGGACTATGTCTATGGTGTTTAAATGCTTTCCCTAAAATGCTGGTCCATTCTGATGGCGGATGTGAGTTTGGTTCCTCTGAGCTGGGCCTTTGTTTCATGGGACTTCATTCCTGCGCACATCTTCTTGTCCTGCTGCCCAGCCTCTGGATGAGTCTCTGCGTTGACTCCCCCTGTTTTGGAAGTAGGGGCATTTTGTATGTAGCTGAGAGACTTCAACACAGCATAGCCTTTATCTGTGTTCCGTCACAAATGTGTTCTCTTCATGTTTCTCTGCTGCAATTAGTGCTGAAAGCCATTTATTATAAAAGCACAACTCCTAATGAATAGAAATGTTACAAGAACAAAATCTTGTGTGCTTTGTCCCATCACACATCATCCATGTTAATTAGAGAGAGGGGTGGTGGGCACTGTGGCAGAGTCTGGAATTAAAATCATTAATTGACGTCAAGCCGAAGAGAGACAGTTAGCAAGAATCCAGTGACAGCAGGAGTGGAATTTACCTTACTGTTTTATTTTAGGATATTACATTATTTTGTGTATTTTTGCTATGCAGCTTCAATGCAATTTCATTGTAATGGAGAATAGTCTCTTTTTTTTCCCTGCAAAAAGAGAGGTGTGAATATGTGTTTGAAGAAAATAGCAAATCAAAATAAGTTCTTTCCTTTTGTTTCTCCAAAATCTGATAAAAAGTTTTAACTGCCGTTTTAATTTTTTTCCTTGCATTTAAATGATCGGGAATGGTGTGAGATGGTTTTGTAGGTGTCAGCCGCCAAAGCTGCAGCTGCCTGGTTCATTTAAAACCAGAGTAGTTAGTAGGGAAGGATGGGCAAAGATGGACAAGGAAGAGAGGTTGATTGGTCACACTGTGTTTGGAGGCACCAGTTGCCCCACCGTTGCTGATGGCTAGCCTGAGACAAATGGGGTGGCTAAGGTTGAACAAAACCTAACTGTTCAGAAGCATGAATAACCCCTACATCTCAGAGATAATTTGTGACCCCAGGGCCTCAATAAAAGAATAGAGGGGCATTCTTTCTAGCAGTGACCATCTGGAGCCATTAGGGACTCAGCTGCAAGGTAATGGGCTTTTTAAAAATTTTTCATAAAGAAACCATGATATTCTTATTAGGACATAGAAAATATTTTTCTCCCCCGAGACAAACATTTTTTTCTGAAGTAAGTTTCTCCCCCAAGAATGAATCTGTGTAGCGTGCAGATATAAGGAATGTTGCAAGCCCCTTTCCATGAATGGTTTGGGGGTAAACAAGACTTGAAAGGTGAATTTTAGAAGTGAATAAGAAAAATCATATTTGATTTTCTTTTTTTAGAGTTTGGTTTTTGTTTTAGTTTTGCCTCTTAGTTTTTACTTGGCAGGCTTTCACATAGCTCAGGCTGGCAGGGCTGAATTTCTCTCTGTAGCTGAAGATGAACTTCTGGTCCTCCCTCCCCTGTTTCCTGGATGCTGTGTTTGCAGGGGTGCAACAGCATGCTCTGCTAGTGAGGGGCTGGGAGGAGAACTCTGGACAGGCATGGTACCAACTCAGCTGCCTCTCCAGCACTGTCATGCTTTTCACAGTTATTTTACTTGTAAGTTTCCACCCAAAGTACACAGACATGCGTGTTCTCATACAGATACGCACACACAGAGACAGAGACAAAGACAGACAGACAGACAGACAGACAGGGAGAGACAGACAGGGAGAGGGAGAGAGAGACAGAGACAGATGGACCCACAGAGGGAGGAGGAGGAGAGAGAGATTCTTACTGGTTTTTAAAGATCACCAGTACCATTTGCACAAGAAGCGGCCTTGGTGCTATTCTGTAGATCAAGCTTGGAGATACACAGCAGGGGTCCTGGCCAGTGCTGACACTTTCACACTGAGGTTCTATCACCAGCATGAGCTGCCAGGGAGTAAAGGAACTTTGGGGCTAACATACACAAGGGACAACGAAATTATCAAGAAGAGTAGTTTTCCTGATTGGAGCTGCGAGAGGGAAGCGGGTGCTCTCAGAGGGGACGGTTGTTCTCTGAGTTGGATGGCCGCTGGTGCTCAGCCAGAGGATGCGGATTCGGGTGCAAGGACAAAAGTAGTGGAGTTAGGTCTCATCGATAGTCCCTCATGCTGATAAACTGAGAAACTGGCCTTTTAGAAAGTGTCACCTGAGGCTGGGACGATGGCGCAGTGGGTGAACGTCTTGTCGTGCAAGTTTGAGAACAAGCATGTGGTCTCCAGTGTACCCATAAAATGCTGGGTTTGGTTCTGCATGCCCGGAATCTCAGTGCTAGGGAGGGAAAGAGGATCACCAGACCTCACTGCATAGCT